TGGTCACAAGGGAAATGGGTTTGGAGCAAATCCTGGTCTCTAAAGGGTGTGTGCCTTCACTTAAAATGCTGTTAATGGATGACAGCCAGCTCACTTGCATTGAAAGCATCTAGTTCTCATGGTGCCGTTGGGCATGCAAGTGGGGTTCGTGGTATTAGATTGCGCCTGTACCACTGTCCTCTTGGTAACAAAGATGAGATTTGTGGTAGTGTCACCATCTAGTGGCTGGACCCGATAAAGGTCACAGGCTGGGTTGAACTAAGACAGTTGATGCCTTTGCTTTTCAGTGGGAAAAAGAGCTACTACACATGTGCCTGGATGAAATGATGTGGTTAATTACAAGTCTGTTCACCGTGTTGTCTCCTCAGCTTGGCAAACACTTGTCTTAATCCCACTTGTCTACTTCCTCACATCAGGCATTGCCTGTTTGTCTGCTTCTTCCCTCATGAAAAGGGTGCTTTCTGCTATCTCAGCTGTAAAGGCAGTGTCCTTCTGTTTCATCTCTTACCTTTAAGTCTGTTCTTCCTATGAATCCTTGAACAAATAGCCACAGAGTAAGGGATGAAGTTAAAGAGTGCTTAAGTTAGATGTATGTGTATTTGGACAAATAAAACTCTCTATAGGGCCTTTTTCTCCTCTGCCCATTCTGATTTGTTTGCCTTTGTAAGACCTCATTCAGTGACATTTGGAGAAGATGTAAGCAATTTTTGTGGGTACACATGCAGATAGTTTGTACTATGTTGGAGATGCCTGTGAAATACAAACCATTAGCTGCTTGCACTGTACTAGTCCAGCAGCAAATCTGAGCCATCTCTGTTTTCCTAAGCACTAAGCCAGTTTACATTTAAAAAAAAAAAGGGAAAAAGAAAAGAAATGCATTAATCGTATATGATTGTATGATTGTTAGATGTATTTCCTAAATTCTCAAATGCAGCAGGTTATTTTCTCAATGTATTTTTTAATGTCAACTAAATATCCATTTTTTCTTTCTCTGTTCTCTCATTTTTTTTAAGCATGTCAGATATTGAGAAGCAGTGCATATGTTTTTTCTTTTTTGAATAACGCTATGGCTGCCATGCTTATCAAGATTTACATCCTCATCTAATTTAACTTTTCATAAATAATTACAAATCACTCATGAGACCTTGCCAACTGCTCCAGTCCCACAAAGTGACCCGACCTGAAACCCCAAAGTACTGAGAAACATTCATCTTGGAGTATTTTCATAGGCAGTACTTCAAAGGAATTGTGGTTTAAAAATATGTAGCTATTTTGGTGACCACTTGTGTGGGATAAAGTTTCCCATCAGTAATAGCAGGACTGTAATAGAGCTTCAGGGAAAAGGAAGGAGATCAGGGGAGCAGTCACAGCACCTTTTGCCTCATTCTGCTTAAGCAGTAGGACTCCCCAGAAGTAAACAGTTGAGTTTGTTAACATAACATGGACTGAGTTTGCAGCAGAGATACTGTAAATTTCTGATAATTTGTAGAGCATGAAGAATTCTTCTGGCAAGCATGCACGGCCCCCACTCAGTTAGGAACAGTGTTCTTTATCTTTTGCCCAGGTGATCCAGTGGTATAACTGGTGAGCAGTGGTTTGAAGGAGCAAAGGTGGGACCTAGGAAATGTATGGCTGTAGATTTGCAGCTTGGAGCTGTGTTCTGGGCAGATATACAAATGCTCTCATGCATGGAGGCTTAGGGTGATGAAGCTGGATATGCAAGAACAACCTCTGAGCAATCCTGTCCATGCAGCATGTCTCTTCACTTACCCAGATGCATCTAATGCTCAAGAGGTGAGAATTTAGCCTCACAAAATACAGGGGTAGACTTAAGTTTGAGTATCCTCTGCTCCTTGGCTGACTGCTTGATGTTTCCTTTAATATAGGAAATATGAGGCAGGGTGGGTTCTTTGTTCATGCCTAGCTTTTTGGTAAAAGAAGGAATTTACCTAGAATAGTTACCAGTTGGGTGTTAAAGGCAATTTCTCTGAGATACAGAGGGCTTGCCCACTTACAAAAGGCCTCAAGTGATGGCCCACACTGAAGTTTTTCATGGTTTTTAGGATGGTTGTTCGTCTCCTGCTTTACTGGGGAACGGTTCCACCTAGTTGCAAGGGTAGCATTACTTGGAATTGGGATGCTGTTACATGCTAGTGTAGATGCACATTTTGAATCTTGCATCCTGTGGTGAAGCTGTTGATTAGTCTATAAATCAAAGTTGGTTTCTTTCTGAAGTGGCTGTGCTACTCTAACTAGAAGTAGAGGGCTGCCAAGCTAGCAGTGAAGCACATGAAGAAAATGGGAGTTTAGATATTCTGTCTGCAATTGGGAATGTGCTTGTCATCTTTTATGCTAACTGTGTTCTGGTTTGGGAACCCTAGCATTTTGCGATATTGCCTCATAGTATAGTTCTTATCATTGTCAATAAGATAAGATTCAATTGTTGATTTCAGATGTCTTGGGCAAACACCAGGTTTTTCAGTTTCAGTGTATCAGTTATGCAACAGATGAAGGTAAGACTTTTGACACCCTTTGGTTTAGTTTCCAGCATTAGTGAAGTGCCCTGGAATCATAAAGCCTTAACAAAATCGTGTTCCTTCTCACTGACCCTTAAGCAGTCTGGTTTTTGTAGCTTCACTAGTGATTGTGGTCGCTGGAGGCAGCAAATGCAAGAACTTACTTCTTTAAAGATACTTGCAGTTCTCAAGGATGTGCTTCAGTATAGCCACTAAATTTTGAAGACGAGAGCAAATTGAAGTCTGAACAACTTGTTAAATAGAAGAATCAATAAAACTGTACTGGCTTTTACTGCCATTGGATAATAGAAATGTAAAAAAATAATTCAGAATGAAGTTTTACACTCAATGAATGAAGGTTTTGTTGGTCTTTGAATCAAAGCCAGCAGGACTGTCTTACCTAGTTTAAAATTTATTTGACAAGTCTGGCTGAAGCACAGGATATAAATCAGCAGAGTGAGTTTGTCTTCATTTCACACCATCCTCATGGAACAAGTTCCAGGAACTGGTGTGTATAAACCAGATCTATCTCTTCCTTTAAATCTGTTCTTCAGATTATTCAGAACGCTGGGACAAGGTTTTTTGTTTCATTAATTTGGTCTAGCCTCTTCTTTTTTGCCATTTCTTCCAGGGAGCTTCTGTAGCTGTTTGGAACATAAATGAGCTATGAAGCAACAAGGTGCTTGTTTAATGTCTTGTATACATAGCAGAATGGATCCCTGACCTGCTTTGCTACTTTTAGGTAGTTGCAATGCAAACAGTAACTCGTTGGGTTTTCCTCCTTGCAAGGGAGAACCTCTACTTCCTTATCTCCCTTTCATGCCTTCCTGCTTTTTAATGAATTCTTTTCTGTGATGCACTAGGGTGATATATTTCAGCAAAACACAGATGAAATGTTGCAAACGACTGCTGTGAAAGCAGTACCTCTGTCCCATGCAGGGCTTTACAGTTAGGACCTTCACAGACTCAGAAGAGATGTATGTGGTCCATTTTAGTTGCTGGATTTCGGTAGTGGTGAACCATTGGGCTGTATATTCAGCAGAGGTGTGTTTGCAATGATGATTAAGCTTTATGCAAAAGTAGCTGATGCCTCCTTTTGCACAAAAAAGGGATTTCTGGGGAATTTATGTATAACTACACATTTTCAGTCATGTTTATGAGTATTTTGCATTCTTTGGATTATTCTACTGGAATAATTTTCATAGCCCTTGCAGTAAGAAGCTTGATGAATAAAATTTTAGTTAACATTTGCATGATTATATGATGGTTTTTCTCTTAATTGATGGAATTTTTAACTACTTGGTTTTTGTTTTGGTTTTTTTTTTCCTGTTGTTTGTATGAGTGGTGTTTGGGGTATAGAGTTTTCTAACAGTGATCCTTATCCTTTCCAGAATTGCTCTTTTCCATCTCCTTTTCTGCAGCCCTTGTAAAATTTACACCACTTCTGGTGCTTTTATATTGTCATATGATTGTTCTAGGGGAGTGGACTTTAGCTGAATAATGCCTGCCTGGTCACTAAGCTTTGCTTCTCTACTGGGATGAGCAGGTGATTGCAGAACTTCATCAAACAGGATCAACGGAACAGTAGAGTTTTTTTGTGGAATACCCCAAAAATAGATGAGGAGGAAAACTCTTCATTAAGCGCTGACTGTAAACTACTCACTAGGTCCATCAGAGGGACCACAGAATTCTTATCTATGATGCCTTAGACTCAATTGACGTTGCTGTGGTGCATCTGTGGTATAATCAAAGTATCTGTGTCAGGCTGGATGCTGTGTTCATGTATGCACACATGCTGCTCCTTAGTATCCATGAAGAAGTGAAGGGCAGTGTATGTAAGGTCGGATGGGTCACCTTTAGTTTATCTTCTAGGTGGCTTCTGGCTGGCCTGGCAGCTTTCACTGTGGACTCGATGCTTGCTGAACAATCTGGTTTTGCACAGTAGCCATTTGTTCAAGGGAGCCATTTGTCTGGAGTTTTGTGGTATCCGAAAGGTGGCAGCTTTAGTGAAACCCCCAGATATTCCAGTGTGCTGTACTGTATTGTTGTGGTTATTGTGAAACAAAAGCTGCATTGGGCACCCAAGGAGTAGTTTAAAAGTAGCATCTTGCTGAACATCATCTCGTATATTGACAGTTAAGACATTAAATACAAACTTCATCCCAGTGGCTTGGTGCAAAAATTTTAACCTGTCTTGATCCCAGTTATAGTCTGTTTTGCAGATTGCTGTCAGATTTCAACATAAATAATGCTTGTTCTGATTTTTCACACAGAACTGGATTTCCTCTAAATACTTGCTTTGGCATCCCACTTTACGTGCCTTCACTGTGTGTGAGATTTAGATAAATTATTCTGTGAAATAAAACAGAACTCCAGGCCAACCTTTCTCTCAATTTATTCTAAGTGTCTTTTCTGAAGTGGAGGGTCTAGCCTGAATGTTGTGTAAAGTTGTTTATAATTTGTGTTTTTCCTCTCTTATGACAGTGATCCGAGCTAAAGTTGTGGGGAAGAAGCTTATGAAAGATGGACCATTTGGAACGATGCGATACACAGTCAAGCAGATGAAGGTATGTTTGCAGACGTTTCACATAGGCTTGTAGATAAATTAAATTAATATGTAATAATAAACAGAGTTACACACTGAAAATAACAGCACCTCAACTTTTCATATTGGTCAGCCAGAATAGAAGGTAGCTGGCAACTAGTAGAAATATGCCTGGAGAGGGCAAAGGAGCAGGAAGAGGTCATACCTGACCTACAATGCTGAATACCTAATTCTTCCTTTGTTTTTAAAATTTCTGGTAGTAAAAGATGCCAGATGGGCTTCTGTGGATCCTGGAGTCCTGTTTGTGTTAGATTGTGGAAATGCAAGCTTTTCCATCTAGCACTTTCATTAAATTCAAGATGTGGTGGTGGTAGGGGACCTGCTAGCCTTGGGAGAATGGTCTTTCATCTCTTCTTTCCTTGCATTCTCTGTGGACCACCAGTTAGAGTGATGGAATTTTTTTCCACATACAGAACAAATGAAAATTGTATAGTGAAGTCTTTATATAAAAAACTAAACCAAACACTGTAGCTGTCAATTATCAGCTCAGAAGAGCTACAAAGTATTGACTCAGAGTTGAAAACAAATAGATGAACTAGAGAAACCAAGCAACTGATGTACCTCTCTTCAGAGCTCTACTTTGCTGCACAAACTGCACTCAACCTGCTGCTTTGGACTTTAGGGTTTTTTTCTTAAGCTGACCCCCTTGTTATGTAATGCTAAAAATCAGCCTTAGATTGTTTTTCTTGGCTATGCCATTCCAGTCATAAGACTGGTTTATGTCTTTTTAGGAAAAAAAAAAAAGAAAAAAAGGGGGAATGGAAAAGCTTGGCAGGGACTGCTGAAATCTGAAACATATTAGACAAAGTAAAGGTTCAGAAAAAAACAGTCACTTGCCTGCCTTGTAACAGTAACTCTCTTTATAAGGCAGTTTATAGCTCAGCACGAAAGCAGGGAGGAGGAGACGCAAAGCCTGTTTCATAAGCTGTCACAAAACCGCACACGTAGCCAGAT